AGGTTTAATCCAATTTCCTGCTGCAGGAATGTTATATTCTAGCTGAAGGTTTTCAGGCTAGAAGCCACACTGGAAAAAGTGCCAGATAAGCGACTGATAAAGCATTTAATAATATGACAGTGTGTGAGAGAGGTTACTTCATTTTTTTTTTTGAGTAGTTGATACGTCTTATTTGGCTTCTGTTCAGATTTGGAACAGAACTCCAAACTTCAATGTTGTCCACAAAAGGCTGGGCGGCCTGGCACCCTGTTTGACAAGCTGGCACGTTGCTTAAAAGCCCTGAGGTCCCCACCAGGCTATGGCGTGAGCTGCTGAGCAGCGTAAGGGGTGGCAGCAACCTTGAAGGAAGACAAGTTTTCTGGTGACAGTCTGCTTGAACTGGTAGAGAAAATTTGCAAAAAAATAATTCCATCTCTACAAAACGTTTAAATTTAGAAAGCCGCAAATTTCTGCCAAAGAAAGGATTTCGGTTTAATCTTTTCCAAGTAGCTCTCATAGACACTGCGGTTTCTGAATAATGCGAATAATAGTTTTCTTTTACAAAACCTGTTCAGCTTAAATATGAATAACTAAAGTTGGGAGCTCTGTAATGGCATTACATTACTGTCATCTCCAGGAGTTAATTACAATGAGCAGTCCCACCCACTTTGAGAAGCAGATAGACAGGAGGAGAATGGAGGCCTTTGGAGCTGGGAGAAACAAAGCGACGTAAGCAAGGAGAGAGGAATAAATGCTGAAACGTGCACTTCTGGGTTAAGCACAGCTGGGATTTGTGGGAATAGAGATATCAGAACCCTGCCCTGGGAGTTAAAATGGTTTAGAGTTATTTAAAATAAGGAAAACAATAAAGGGCACGCTAGCTGTGCTGATATGCGTGCTTAATGCTAAGCTACTTGGCAGATGCAGCCTGCCTCAGCATTTGGAAATGAACTGCTTGGGCTCTGTAAGCACTTGAGCAAAGTGAAAGTGATGATGTGGTGGGTGATAACTTGAAGCAGCCTTTAAAAAGAAATCAGATCGAGAGAAATACAGGGAAGAAGGATACAGAGGTTAAGAGCCATAGTGAGAAATAAGCTCTTGCTCTCCTGTTTCACTTCTCCTCCCCCTTCTCCTCCCAGCTTCCGCTGCTGTGTCAATAGTAGTGGGTGGCTTGGAGCAAATGCTTTCAAAAGTCAGCCCCCTCCTCCCCGCTTTGCTCCCTGAGCTTGGGCAGAGAGCAGGAGAAACCCCTTGCAGCTTCTTGGGGGACTTGGAAAGGAGCGTACCACCCCTGCCATGCTCATGCTGGTTCATTACAAGTGAACATCACCGGTAGGGTCCCAGGTTCCTTATGGTACATACCATACTGGGAGGAACACAGAAGCCTGTGGCAGTCACTTACCACGATCACTAGCTTGTTTGCTTGTTTTAGCTTTTACCACTTTCTTTGATTAAGAGTGCCAATTAGAAAATCTCTAAAATTAGTTTCTCTGCATTTTGAAGCTGGCTGTAAACGGAGCTGCTATTTTTTTTTTAAATCCATTAAGTTTACATAAAACTTGCAGAGGCGGCAATCTCTAGGGCTTGTTTCTGCCTGCCAGAATTATGAAATAAATACTTTGTCATAAAAAAGCCATTCACTGGATATTAAATTACTCATGGGTACCAGTTAGTGAAACAGAGTGCCAGTAACTCAGCTCCAGTTAGGTAAGAATCTGTGGAAGAAGAGAATGCTGAAAAGGTAAACCTCGGTATTAATAAATGCAAGAAAACTACCCAAAATTGACATTTTCCTTAACTGAGTTAGACTGAACTCTCTGAATGTAAAAGAAAAGGCCAAACTCAGACTTTCAAGGTAGCTTTGTAATTGCCAGTTGTTTTAAATGAGAAGATAAGGTAGAAAAAAGAAAGCTTACATACATCTCAGAGTTACTGTTGTTAGACTTTTTGCACTCTTTAGAAGTAAAACATAGTCAGCAACAGGAAGATGTATGTCCCATTCTCCTCTTGCATCATTTCAGCAGCATAACTAAAAGGGATGTTTGTGTGCTGGCTCCTTTTTCTGTGCACCAAAGAAAGACAAAATTGTTTATTCTCAGCACCAAAGGAAATCAAAACCAGAAGCCGTATATTTACTGGGGGACTGAGACATGAAAACTGACGATGTTCTTTTCCCTGCTGCTTCCTGTCATAATTAGTTCCATTTTCTTTCGTGAATTGCATGGTGGAGGGTTATGCGTGGAGAAGTGCAGTAAGCCAAAGCACCTTGGCTGTCTCACGCTTGCAAACTTTCTGAGATGCCTTCTGGCTAAAAGTGCCACTGACGGTCACATTTCCAAACAATTTCATCTTCGTGCTAGCGATACGGAGGGGAGGACATTCTGTTTAAAAAAATTATCTAGCCAGTACCAAGTTAGCCTTTCAAAAGTATCCATCCTGCAGTAGCTGTTTCTTGAATTTGGAGCATGGTTCATGCAGTGGCTGTTCTGCAGTGGCTGCTGTAATGCGGATTTCCAGAAATAACGTAACTGAAAGGACTGAAAAGCTCAATTTTTGGAGACTTGCTCATGATTCTTGATTATAACAATGTCCTACATTACTTTGGAGAGAGATTAGAGAATACTGGAGAGAAAAAGAGCAGGAAAAGTGTGTAAATTTGGACTTTGTTAAGGGAGGATAACCACACTCTGGTTTTGTATGGATTTTCTTAAAATCAAAATGAGCTCTGATTATAATAATACATATAATACAGGGTCAAGTCTTCTGCTGCCACTGGCGCTGTGCAATCCTGTCCACAAACGTTCCCGTCTCCTTATGCCTTCTTCAGATCCCTTACAGTTTGCCTTATTCTCGGTTCTCTAGGTACATCGTCTACCTGTGCAGGACTGCCACAAATATTCGGACTGTGAGAAGTGTACTCAAGCAAGGGATCCGTACTGTGGCTGGTGTGTGAGAGAGGGCAGGTGAGTGCTGCTGGTGTTTTCTCAGGTGCAGGCAGTGGAATAGCTCAAATTTTGACACATGCTGTGGGTCACTGCTTGGCGTAGCGATCCCAGCTTTTTGTACTCAGCCTTACACTCCTGATTGATAGTGATTGCATGTTATCACGCAGACATTGATATCAGTCTTCTGTGCACACAAATAAGTCCCCGTTGACTTCTGCAGATTTGATTAGTTTGGGAAACGTATACTTTGCTGCTGCTACTGAAAATCAGTATACATCTTCTAACTGCGTGTTTTATCATTCTCTGAACTGCACAGTCAAATGTTCTCCCAGAAATTTAAAGAGTGCTCCCTATTTAAAATTCAGAAAATATATCATATATTTTAAGTAGAGCAGGAAAGTGCAAAACAGAGCATAAAAGAAAAAACTGTTCATGTCTGAAATAAAGTATATAGCTCAAACACTGTTTTTATATAAACATCATCTTTCAAGATGTGTAGCTACACTGAACCCTCACCTAACTGTAGGAGAGCAGAAAGTAGCATTTGGCTGACTATTGCAGAAGTTAACTGAATTAATATTCAGACACATGTAAACTAGGACAGCACTGAACAGCTCTGGAATGTCT